TTATTACCTCTACTTAGGCTATCATATGTTGGATAGTATGTAGTATGTCCATCTCTTTTTGGTCAGATACCTTTTCTTAGGCTACCATGTTTGGTAGTAGGTCATCTTTCCTTTTGTGTTTACCTTTGCTTAGGCTATCATATGTTTTGATTGTAGGTAATACACCTTTCCTTTTGGTCAGTTACTTTGTGATCAGTAGTTACTTCCATTCAACAAAACCTCGGCAGCAAGTGTTTCTTTTTAATTTCCAGCAAACCTCGGCAGAAGGTGGCTCTATTTCATATTCCTTGGTAAATTTTGGTAGTAGATTCTCCGGTAAATTTTAAAAAGAGAGTTTTCATCAAACCTCGATAGAAGGTATTTTATTTTTATTTTCTAGTAAGTCTCGACAGAAGATTTCCAGTTTAACCTCGGTAAAAGGTATTTTCTTTTTATTTCCTGGTAAGTCTCGGGAGAAGAATTCTAGTTTAACCTCGGCAGAAGGTATTTTCTTTTCATTTCCTGGCAAGTCCCGGCAGAAGATTTCCAGTAGACCTCGGCAGAAGGTGTTTCATTTTGTAAATTCTCTGGTTATTCTCGGCAGTAGATCTCCAGCAGACTTCAACATAAGATGTTTCTTTGTTTCCAGGATCCCGACCAGTCCTCTTTCAAAATCGATTGTATTCCTCTGAAAAGAGTTGATATCTCGCACCCGCTCATGGAGTTTTTATCCCCCAACAATTCAATTTTCAAGCATGCAATTGATAATGATTTTCCCCAACATCTTTGCTTCTATTGCTCTCCAAGCAGTGGTTACCCTAAAAAGTCTCCAATAAGCTTTTCCAATGTAAAGTTTGGCCAATAAACTTGTTCTTCCTTTATTTCATTGCATTTTCACTACTTTCTCTTACTACATTTCATCTCTACATTTCATGTCCACCTTTTAGGACAAAACTTGAGATATTTCTGTATTTAATTATCTTCCACCAGGAATGTATAGAGACCACTGTCATTCATACCTTCTGGTTCAAGTTAATTAAATAGGGGAATCTGTCATACCCCAATTTTGTCCATCCTTCATATGCTTTCGAGTGGATTTTATTATGAATAAATGAGATAGCATAGTTGGTAAAAAAGTATGTGTAAGAGGTTTAATCATAAGGTTGTGGATTCAAGTCCTATTGTATTTATTTTCCTTTTTGTGTGTTTTCATTAAAAAAGGGTAAGAATATCATTTTTTCATTATTTAATTATTATTTTTGTTTTATTATTTAGGAGTATTTTAAAAAATAATTTTTTATTTTTTAAATCTTTATTTTATGCATTAAATAAATAAATAAAATCCAAAAAAAAAAAATCTCAAGACCAATTCAAGATTCATTCCAAAACAAGTCTTAAACATAATTCAAACATGTTTGAATGAATGAAGAAAGTTTTCAAAATCACAAAAAATGTTCCAAACATGTTTGAATGAAAAAAGAAAGTTTTCAAAATCACAAAACATGTTCCAGACAAATTTGAATTTCTCTCAAATCAGCATCTCAATGTCAAAATTTAAAATGTCTATAAAAGAGGGCAAGAGACCAACACTCAAGGAAATAAAGGATCTCACAAAAACACGAATCAAAACGCATACACGCTGCAAGTGGAGAGGGACGAGAGATTATTTTTCCAAAACCAAAACACTAGGTGATACTATTCTTTTTCAGATCTCTCGTTAGTTTTTTTGGATTCATATTCTATTGTTTGCTCTTGTTCCTTTTAGCCAGATCTACCATTTTCCTTATTGTATTTCCTCTTTTTTCTAGTTCATTTTTGTGTTTTTGTTTTACATATATAATATGAATTTACATAACAGTGTCGATAGTTTTAGTTTACATAACAGCGATAACATATATATTTTCATATTAGTTTTTATTTTTTATATACTTATATGTGTTACTGTTAACTTCACTTTTTATGATATTACTATAATTTTAGAATAAAAGTTCTATGAGTTCTATATCCTTATGTATATATTACTATATTTCTTATATACTTATATGAGAATTTTTTTTTATATGTATGTATGTTTATTTTCTTCCGGTTGTATGTTTAGAATATATATTCATACTTTCTTGTTTACGTTTATGTGTATATATATATCTATATTTTTGCTTTTTATTTTATTTATTAATTATATATATATATATATATATATATATATATATATATATATATATATATATATATATATATATATATATATATATATATATATATATATATATATATATATATATATATAAAATTTCTATTTGAGTTTTATATTATGTATATATATTTGTAGTATGTTAATTTGTTTCTATTTCGATTCTGTAGCAATGCAGATTCATTGTGTGTAGGGTGTGTGTGTTGTGTTTAACATTCTATTTTTCGATTATTTTGAACTGATATAAAAAAATTGTAACACTATTGTAATAATAACAATAAGTTTGGTTGGCTATTGATTTATTAAATTTGCGTTGTGATCTCGAAGTTGAAAATTAATTTAACTTTCAAAAAATTGTTTGGACGCATAGATTTTTGCTCAGCTTCTTATAGAGTGATTCTTACATGAATCTACTCTAAGTTAGCTTTTAGAGCTAAATTTGGTTAACTTCGACTTCGTTTGGCTTTCGAGTCTCATGGCTTACTCTTGGGTCTTCATACAATGAGACCATCATCTTATGCATTTACACCCATTTATTTATGTTTTTTATTAGGCTGGATTTAATTATTTCATTATCTACTATTTCCATTCGACAAAATGTACCCCAATTCCCATACGTGTAATAACTTTATCGCTTCCTTTATTTTGTTTATATATGTCTTGCCATTGCACCGATTAAACCTCTTTGCAAAAATAAATTCTCGACCCAACATCGATCCATTTTACACCCTTATAAGTCGATTTCCTCATGCGTCGCCATCAACCTCATGGGCACCATACATAACATTCATGGGATTTCTTACAGTGAGACCTATTCGATCAATTAGTTCTAGTTGATCGTTTAGAAGACTGACCCACTTTGCTAGTGCACATGATTAACATTCAATTCGTTTATGTTGTTTTGATTAATTGATGACGTCTATTCTTGATGTTTCACCTTGTGAGCTGATCACGTGCTTTGATCCTCACTTTGTACATATGTTGTTATTTGTTCATGCTCTTAACTTTGTTGTCTACTCATTGTATATTATCTCCATGATGCTTAGCCTGTTTGATATTTATTCGTGGCTCTTGAATTTTTCTTGTTGCTTAAGCATAACTTCAAGGGAAGGGCTTGTTATTGACACTCTAGTCATTTAGCTTTTTATTTATATTTTGTATCTTCTTGTATATACTTTTTGTAATCCTAGAACTTGCTATCCCTTAGGAAGTCTCCCTTATGATTACCATTTTCAACCTATATATAACTTATATTTAAATCATATTCTCCCATAAAAGGATTAGACATGACTTATCTATGTAGTCGAGACATAATTCTCCTACCCCATAACATAGTCGAGAAAGATGTAGAATATTTTCCGCTTGAGAGAGGTATGTGACATACTCGTCGATTATAAATCTGAGTTGGAGCCCTTCTCTTAAAGTGAAGCAAAGACCATCTTCCATATGCTTGTGGTGGTTTAAGTTGAGTATTCTCCCTAAGATGACTACTTGTCTCTTCTCCTAAAATTAATCAACAAATTTCCCTCCTAAAACCTTGGCCACAGTCAAAAGTTCCTCAATCCCTTTAGGGGAACTACGAATGCTCTGATTCCATTCCCGTTAGGATACGTAGGCACAAGATGCAATTTCTTGGCGAGCATACTTAGAAATAAACCCCTAGGTTCACCTTTAGCAAACAACAATAACATAATAAAACAAGAGGTTTTTGTAGAGTACTACAGATGCTTAGGATGCTAACACTTTCCCTAGGTATAACCAACCCCCGAACCTTAGATTCTCTTTTGCTTTGCATTACATTGCATATTTATGGGTTTATTCGTTCTTTTTCCCTTCCCTTGGATAAATTAAATATCAGTGCTGAAAAATGATTTATGATTCAAGTTAATTAATAGCTTGATATTCAATTCTCACCGCGACAATAACGAACGTCTTTTTCTAAATAATTAGGGTAAGTATTTTAGGTACGAAAGGTCAAGCAACCCACAACCTAAGGCGTGCGCTCTAAGAGCAGTCACTAAAGAATCCAAAGAGTACGAGACTCCAAGAACTCAATTCTCTCGTAATTTAATTAGGAAAAATTTTGAATTTGATTAGAGTATTTTGATTATATATTTTAATCGGGTTGGGTGTTTTAGAAATGAAAGATTGAAATGATTACAACCCAAGGCGTGCACCTCAAGAGCGACCATTTAAGAACCCAAGAACGGTTAGACCTCAAGAATTCAATATCTCTATTATTAATTAAGAAAATATCTTTACTTAGTCATATTTAATTAGGTTAAAGGTTTTAATCAAAATTAGGGTTTTTTGGATTAAAGATTTTGAAAAGAGTTAAGCATTTTAAAAATGAAAGACGGAGCGAACACAACCTAAGACGTGCGTCTCAAGAGGGATCGTTCAAGGATCCAAAGAGTGCTAGACTCCAAAAATCCACTACCTTCGTTGATTAATTAAGAAAATATGTTTTTCAATATCCATCTGTCGGATAAAACGGTGTTCAACAATATAGTTTTGATATACCAATCTATCAACCTAATCATCAATCAATCCATTCATTTTTGTATGCTTTAAAAATTAGAGCTTATTGGAAATTATTCCCTTGTACAAAAAAAAAACATATATGTATGTCCATCTACTATTTTAAATATGCACTTTTATTACAACCATGGGATGCGCGGTGCAGCTTTTTTCTCTGGTACCTTCAAAACTGTCTCAACAAAATCAGAAAGAATCATTGCCACCAATAGTTAAATATTCACAAACTGTTTAATATCATGATTGTACTTTATACATGATAGAAAATGAATGAAAGAAAGAACTAAAGCTTTTAGTGAATTAATAAACACTTAACATAGAAACAAGATGAAGATCTTAACCTGATGTCTTTGGCAATTATTGTGTCACCATCTGTAGCCCCAAGACGTTGCAAAGCTACCTTCTCAAGACGACCATCTCGATATGCATGCTTGTAGAAGCAGCTAGCTCCAAAAGGGCAGTTTCCATCCCCAAACTCAAAATGCTTGCAATCGATTGACTTGAGGTTTTCCTTGTAGGTATCAATGATTTCCTGTTTTTCTTCAATTGTAGCATACCAAATAACACTCGGAACGGCAAAGTAAGATATCTTGCGGTAGATAGGACAGGCCCGTAGTGTGTTATTCCAGTCATGAGAAAATTTGCAATGCTCCCCTTTCAGACACGCTCCATGAGCAAAGAACTTACAAAGTACCTGTCCAAGAGAGAGGTTGAGTCGTGTGCATTGTTTCATTGATTTGGGTTTAGCAACCATCACTCTAAGTAACTTAGTGACACAAATGGCAACAAGAAGTCCAACATCTTTATCCTTATGGCACAAAAGCCACCATAAACCACAACATCGATTAATAGCTCCAAAGCGTCGCCTCGTTTCTTCAGAGCTTATGCACCAACTGAAAAAAAGTATCCGTAGCTTTTCGGAAAAAGAAGAAATTGACGACGAAATCTCTATTTGGACGAATTCATGGAGCGAGCTGTTATCGATTAGTGAAACGAGTTATGATGTTCGTTCATTGAGATGCTCGAATGTTCATGATTTCGTTTGGTGAAGATGAAGGTGATTGTTGTAGATGTGGAGCAGATCCGAGGGGATGGATCTAATGTTGAAAAGAAGGATGAAGGGAGTTTGCGGTTGCGGATTAGGTTCATGGGGTGGAAAGATGAGCGACAGTGAGGGAGATTACTGGTGAGTGAAGAGGTTGAAAATGGTTTTCAATGGAGAAGGAAAGTTAAATGAAAACGGAAGGCGGGAGGCGGAAATGAGAGGTGGAGAAGAAGGGTTCCGACGATGGTGGTAATGTTGTCGAAGAAGATGACAATGGGTCCGGGGAAAGAAGAAGAAGGAGAGCCTTATTATTTTTTGTTTTTCTTTTTGAAAAATTCTGTGAATCGAGGAGTTCTCTCCCCCCAAGTCGCGCCAGTCCCATCCCTTATCCTCTTTCTTTCCTTTTTTAATTTTTTTAATTCTTTTCTTATTTAATTATTATTATTATTATTATTATTATTATTATTAAATTAAAATATAAACAAAATCATAAACAAAAATTTCCAATACACCAAGAGACTGTGTCAACTTATAATTGGATAAGGTGACAAAATTTTGAAAAAACACTCAATTGTAAGTGGACAATTTAAGGGGAATCCACAAGAAAGAATTTCCTAGTGAAGTTGTCATTTCTCCACAGTGAGAATCGAATAGCAAGCTATTATTTAACTTGAATCATAAATCTTAATTCACCACCGATCTTTAATTTATCTAAGGGAAGGGAAAAAGAGCAAATAACCCAAAATATAAAATGCAATGCAAAGTAAAAGAGAATTTAAGGTTCGGGGTTGGTTATACTAAGGAAAGGTGCTAGCATTCTAAGTATCTGTAGTACTCTACAAGAACCTCTTGTTTTAATGTGTTATTTGTTATTTTGTATGCTAAAGGATCAAAAGAAAAGGGAGATCTAAGGTATTATTTTTAAGTATGCTCGCCAAGAAGTCACATCTTATGCCTACGTATCCTGACGGGAATGAAATTAGAGCATTATAGTTCCCTTCAATAAGGGTGAGGAACTCTTGACTGTGGTCAAGGTTTCAGGGGGAGAAGGTTTGTTGATTGATTCTAAGAGAAGAGATAAGTCGTCATCTTAGGAAGAATACTCGACTTAAATCACCACAAATATATGGAAGGCGGTCTTTGCTTCACATTAAGAGAAGGGCTCCAAATCGGATCTATAATCGATGAGTATGCCACATACCTCTCTCAAGCAAAAAAGATTCTACGTCTTTCTCGACTATGTTATGGGGTAGGAGAATTATATCTCGACTACATAGATGAATCATGTCTAATTCTCTTGTGAGAATAGGGAATTTAATCTATAAGTTGTCTAAGTTGAAAATCTAAGGGAATCTAGCCTGAGGATATAAGAGTGTCTCTTAAGCTGATCAACCTGAAAGGAAACAGGGATCAAGCAGAGGGAAAAGATGCAAATGAATAAGATGTTCATGACTATGAAGTCAAGAACAAGATCCTTGCTTTAGATGTGTATCAAGAAATTATTAATTAATTTAAATATTAATATTTATATTAACTAATAGTTACAACATATTTTTATATATATTTTTTAATATTCAACAAATAATTAAATAATTAAAAAACGAAAATAAATAATTAAAATATTTTTGGTATTTTTGAAATATTATATGAATTAAATTAAAGAGAAACTAATTATAGAAAATAATTTTAAAATGTAACCATTAATAAATAGCCAAAAAAAATATTTTTGATTTTCTAGATCATGAAAAATCAATTAAAAAAGAAAAGAAGGAAAAAAATATTATTAAAAAAAAAAAGAATCAACGTTTGAGCAACCACACCATGTAATACAACATAAATACATTCAAAATATTTGTACAAATATTTTCCTTATTATCACTTGACATGTTGTTAACTCATATACATGCACTTTAATCATCCATACACTTGTTACAAATGAAAGGAAACATGAGAGTCTAAAGGACAACAACTTAGCACTATTTATTTTAAAAGATAAACTAATAAAGTCTAAAAAATTAAATGAATTATTCACATTGATACAATTAAAACAATTAGCACGTAAATGCACATACAAAAAAAAAACTGTAAATACAAATAGATTTACGCTCAAGAAACAAATATGTAATGTCTAAACAACAAATACAAAATTTGCACAAAAACACACAAGTCATAAACTCAAATAACACACATTATTAACACATAAGCAATTATATATTTAACACAAAATATTATAGCTTAATTTATGAACAAACATAGACTAGCTAAATGACATGACGCATACTTAAATTATAAACTTAATAAAACTACATCAACAAATATACGCAAAACACTACAACATGACATTATAAGCAATACTACAAAGACAAATGTAAAATTAACATAAATACAATACAACATCAACTTTTCAAAATAAATGATGAGTTTTCAATTTTACTTCTCTCAAATAGCCTTTTTCCTCGCGTCGTTGCCCTCTCTGTCTCTTTCTCTCGATGTCACGTCGTAGTTTATGAATTTTTTTTACAGTTTGGGCGTGAGGAAGATGAGTTATGAGTGTTTTTTTTCTTTTTTGTGTGATTGCTTGTTGTTTTTTATCTATGTGCATGTTACTCTTTTATAGCCACCAGGTTTTGTGGCTTATGAATTCCTCATCAACATGTCTGAACCTATTTGGAAAGAGTTTAAATTCTTGTCTCCTTGTCCTGTAATTCATGAAAATGTTGTAATTATGTTGGAACATGTCTATGTATGTTTGGAAAGAAATTGAACATGTCTTGAACATGTTTAGGCCTTGTTTTGGAAAGGACAAATGCTATTAGAAACATGTTTAGGTCTTGTTTTGGAAAGAAATTGAATTGGTCTTGTTGATGTTTGATTATGTCTTTTATTAAAAAAATAAAATATTAATAAACAAATTATAAATAAAATTAATTAATAAAATTAATTAAATTAAATATCTTATTAAATCTAAATAAATTAAATAATTATTTAACTATAAATAAATAAAAATGATTAAAAAAACGAAATAAATAGTCGACCAGAAAAGTGCTCAAAAAATAGAATGAACACACCAAAATAATCAGCATGGAATAAACATATTGGAAAAATAAATCGTTTGGTCAGTTTTTGAAATAAATTTAGACTTCTTTGTTTGTAAATCTGACAAATTTATTCTGACTGACATTTCGAACACTATGCAAGATGAAGTACATGATATGCTATGCAGACGTTGCAAAGCGAAAAATACAGAATCTTAGGGTAAAAAATTAGGGTATGACAGTATGAGTATTCCTTGAAAGGAAGCTTGGAATCTCTGTATCCTGATGATTCAAGATGAACTGCCTCAACATTCTAAACCTTAAAGAGGTGCTTCGGATTAATTGTCTTCTGGATAAGGATAACTTCTATGCTCTTGGGGTGGCCTACCCCAACCTTCAAATGATTTTGCACCTGATTGACTGAATCTATGAAGGAGTGCCTCAGACTAACTGACCTTCGAGATATTTATCGAATCTCGACCTGATTACCCTAGATTAACTGAATATTAGATTATTGACCCTCCTAGTTTAATCATTTGACCTGACTTGCCCCTGCTCAACAGGGTACTCAGGTGTTTTGCATCTTAGCTTCATCAATCTTTCATTTTAGAAACTCTGCTAATGTCATGTATTTACTCGTAAGTAAAACAAATTGTTTTGAAAAGATAATCTTAATGCAATGCATATGATAGTTTTGAAATCCAAGTTTGTTCACTGGAAAAGAGTTGTGACATATAGTGAACGAAACACTTATTAGCAAGTCACCCAGTATCAACCTGAGTTGTAAGAAGAAAATCCTTTCAGGAGTCAGCTTTAACGCAATCTTTGCCGAAGTATGCTTTCGAAACAACCCTGCTTCAATTAGGTCTTTTAAGGGTTGTAATGTGGCCTAGTTCACAATTTGAGAATGAAAGGATATAAGGCTCAAAATTTGTTTTAACCCACCCATTCTCCTTGATGTTCTCCAATCCTATGTTCAGCTAATTCGACACAAGCGTTCACCTTTCAAAGATTATTGAATGGCAAGAGTGATGGTTATGGAACCCACAAGGTTTTCAGAGTGATAGCCACTCGCTTTTTGTCTTTGATGTATGAAGTCACACGATTTGTTCTATATCGAGGATTTTTCTTTTGTAATCCTTTTCATTTTCATCATTTTCACTTCTTCCCTAATCTTGCCTGGACTGACTCTTTTGAATTTTTCGATTTTGAAGTCCAGCGGGATGCCCTAATTTTTACCTAAGTCACTTGTTTTTAAGTTTTCAACTTAGCAGGCTTTTTCTTTTTCTGGAATAAATCATGTGACACCGGCTTGTCTGACTCGTCCGAAAGGGTTGTGACTGCCTCACTCCTTAGTTGGTGAGGGATAACCATTGTAAGTTTGTGGGGTACGACCTCTACAGGTGTGATTGATCCTCGAACGCGAATACTCCTTTTGCAATTTGGATGCTTTGTCAAATTAATTGACACCTATCCTACCCCAGGTTAAGATTAAGGGTTTTTTAGTTTTCAGGAAGGAAACTCCTACTTCTAGGCTCAACAGGATTGAAAAGGGATTATCTTACTTATATCCCGGTATTTAGGAATTTGAAACAATGTCTGCACATCATCAGCAAAGGTTTTATTCAAAAGCATACAACTGGAAGCTTTGTGTCTTTCAATTTCGTCATCCTC